CGTGAGACCAGGAGAAAGGCGCGAGGAATTTCAAGTGGGACAAGAAAGTAGAAGGGGGGGGGAGGGCTTAAAAGACAAGGCTTTGCTTAGCAATACTTTGACTCAACAAACTAGGTGCTGTACAATTCTCTTAATAAAGAAATATTTAATGGAACTAATTAGACTCCAGAAGATTTACTGAACTTTAGGAATGGGCGTGCAGACTCACAGGAGCTGCAGATTTGGGGAGCTGTCCTTCCAATGTATCTGTGGGCGCCAGGCTGGGGAGAGCAGGTCTCCCCCCTCCCCCTAGTTCAGCCCTCCTGCGCGGCCCCACTGGCTTCAGCGAAGGGCTGTGGAAGATCCACCTGACCTCCAGCATGTGGCTGATCTGCTTCCACTCGCCTGCTGGCTGGGTCACAGCCCCCACCCCAAAGAGCAGGATCCACAGCAGGATCCACAGTCTTCCTTCCCGCCCCCCTTGGCCTCTGCATTGCTTCTCTTCCTGGAATGACAAAACCGGGCCGGGAATTGTGCTGATAGGTGGCACCGTTCTGCACAAGTTGGCATGAGGACACCCGATGCCAGCCTTGCAGTGCAGCATGCAGATACTGGTTTGGGCCAACGTTCCTTCTTTCACTTTAGAACCTGGCAGTTAGAGGGGGTCCGTGAGGCCATCCAGTCCAACCCCTGCTTAGCGCAGGAGGACCCTTGGCAGATGACATCTAGTCTCTCCATGAAGGGGGGCCCATCAGCTCTCCAGGCGATGGTTCCTGTGAGTTGCTTTTCGCAGTCAGACGTTTTCTGAACCCCTCCACTGGACTCTGCCCGGTTTTGAGTGAAATCCTGCAGGAATCCTTCCTGGGATGACGTCCTGACCTTGTGCAACCCCACAAGTGCTTGTAGGGTGCGGCCATCTCCCCTCTGGGTGGTCTTAGAGTTAGAGACAGCCACTTCTTCAAGGCTTCCTTCCCCATCCCCCATTATCTTCGTGGCTCTTCCTAAACATCTCCCGGGTCCTCAAAATCTTTCTTGGAACGCATTGCCCCACGCCGGGCAGAAAAGGGGTAATTCGGGAGCCAGGATGCATCCTGCGGGAACCCAGCTTGTCTGAGCAGGACCCATCGCGGGGACAGCCGTTAACCACAGCCAAAGCAGGCCCTTGCCTTGCCTGCTAAGCCAACCCAGTCCCAGGCACGACGCGCAACCCACCAGCCGCCACAGAGAGGCTGAGGCCCAGCAGGCGAAGGGACCTGGCACAGCCAGAAGGCAGCTGCGGAGCCCCCCCCCCGCCCCGACACAGCCTCCGCCTCAGCAGGGCCTTTCCGGAGGGAGGGCAAACGCAGCCCCAAAGGGTGCCTTCGGCTGTTCTCCTGCGGGCGCGATCAGCCTGACAGGCCGCAGAGGGCCTTTGGGGAAGGTGGCCCTTCGGGTGCTTCCAGCAATCAGCCGGCAGCCCCCTGCCCCGGGTGTCCCACTGAAGACAAGACACCACGCTATGCCAGGCAGTCGGGAGAGCCAACGTGCAGGTTGCCTCTGGGGAGCTCTGCTGGTGGGACTACCTGCCCGCTTCTGGAAACAGAGCCAGGGCTGGGCATCGGGGAAGGAGGGCCGGGAAGCTCCTTTCTGCCATCTCGGGAAGCAGCCTTTCCCTGGGCGGCCGAGCCCCTCCAGTCCCACGGCACGCCCCACACCCACAGTGGGGCCCTTTGCTTTGGCCGAGCCGGCAGACGGACAGGAGCCGAAACGCGAATTCCAGAAAAGCGACTTTAATTAATCCTGGGCGCAACAGAACCATTTGCTTGCGTGAGAGGCGATGAGTAACTAACGAGCATTTTCATTCGGGAGTCGCTGCAGGGAAGCGCTGGGGCCAGCAACAGCGTCACCCGCCGGAGGACAGCTTCCATTCGGTCCCTGGGAAGAGCTGAGGGCCAGGGGGCTCTCCTCTGCGCCCCTCAGGCGGGGTTCTCCTCTTTGCCTGGCTC